TTTATGTGTGTATAAGAGAGGAAGCAGGTGGGACGGGGGTGGAGGTGGGGACAGGGAGGAGAGGAGGGGTGGGGAGGGGGAGGGGATGGGGGGAGGGGCGCGCGCAGCGCGCCGTGCCAAAAACACTTGCGACTTACGTGTTTAATCAACTTTACCGCGGGAAGGAAGAATTATTCTTCGGCGGAGTTAGGAAATATATTTATTATTTGTATCCTTTCTCAGCCTGTATCTCCGAAACTATTTGAGTCCGACCCTTATATATATATATGAAATTACTCGGGAAGACATCCCCAACAACATATTTAAAAATCAAGCGAATCGGAGAGGAAGTCGCTTTTATGCACAATTACCATAATCTCCTTCAGTATTACCGGATTTTTCACCAAATGTCAAAAGGAATCATTCGTATTTAATTTCTCGTAATCAGTCTCATATGAAATGTGTACTTACGTTTCGTGGCATGACCAAATCTTGTTACATGATTGATAAAACCTGGTGGGATGATCGAGACTTCGTGGCACTTTGTATAACACCTCAGTATTAATCACACGCGACAGGAAGGGAAACACGAAAAATGTACGATTGCACGAAGTTACTACTTTGCACTCGGTATTCCTTGTAAATTTATCCGATGGTACGAATTTTAATCGGCAGTAATTGCCAATGTATAAATTTAAACTATCGATGAGTAAATATTACAATATAACTAAGCACGGATAAGATTAATTAATATTTCATTCTTCAGTTAAACGTATCGTGAGGATTCAGCGATCACGCGATGATACCGATCACTAATTATTCGCAGAGATCGATCGCGGTTTCTTCCCGCACTTTTCACAAACGCGTATCAAGAGAGAATAGTACCTACTCGTTCGACTGTCGCCGCGTAAATGATTTTGCGTACGACGTGACTTTGCTTCGCCGAGCGGCGATCCAAAAAACAATGACGTAGCGCGTAAACAACTCGCTCGTTGAGTAGCGCCGTGAACACCTCGGTCGAAAACAATACATATGTACTTTCAGAATACATACTTTCACGTGGGTTTTGCAAACGGAAGTGTAAAATCGCGCGATATATCGACATATCTAATAACGATTTTAATTAACTAACATTAACAGTGTTCGTTAGACAGTTTCATAACGCCATCTTTAGCACGGAAACAATCTCGCGTCGAACAAAAGTCTGCTGATATCGCACTCTTAAACTTTATTCGCCAGCATAATTTACCTTTGCTTATTTGAGTGCCGCGATGGATGTGAGAGAGCGCGGCACGAGCGCTGTGCCAAATTCGGTGCACGAGTTCGAACGATCGTAGAATTCTAAAATTACGGGATGTCATCTACCGTCGCAGCTCGCATTATTTCTCTCTCCACAATTAGGTGCCGTTTGTCGTCGTAGACCATAATTTCGTGCGCATTTCTTCGGACACGCCCGCGTGTCGCGTAAAACGACAAATGTTCGAGAATACGAAAATAATATCAACGAGACGGGTGGGTCTCTCCATGCTCTTGTTTTAAATTTAACGATGAATTTTCTTTCTTCTGCATTTTTAAATTTATTTCTCCGCTTTCTAGCTCAAGCTGCAACGCCGATAGACACAGATTCAGTCGATAGTTTCGAATGCCCGAGGCGATACGTTTTTACAGTTACTTAATATTTTGAGATACGAAGGCGCAGATTCGCGAATCCTCCTGAAATTGCATGTTTGAGCGCGCTTATATAATTATCAATACTTTATCGATATTTAAATACTGATACTCCTTGCATGCACGTGACGCGATGTCACACCAATGACACAGTTTTCTCGTGATGTGGGCTGCGCTGGGTAGCTAGATAAGACATTCAATCTCTAAACTATTTATAGACACGAATAATAGGTCGTAGTTGCAGTTATTGTTCGACGGTGCGCGCTCAAACATGCAATTTCAGGAGGATTCGCGAATCTACGCCTTCGTATCTCAAAGAGTGATCTTTGCGAACGGCGTCCGGCCGGCCACATTGGTGGTGAGCGAGGAAAAAATCCAGGAAATATCATACGACACGGGTGAAGACGTTGTACGATATTTGTCACAGGTAAATCTCACGTAAATCGTTCGAGACGGGGGAGAATGAAGATGTGAATCGACGCGCGAGTTTCAGAAATACCCCGGCATTCTGTTTAACGATTGCGGCTCGTTAGTGCTAATGCCCGGAATAATAGACTCCCACGTGCATGTAAATGAGCCCGGAAGAACCGAATGGGAAGGATTTCGCACCGCTACACGCGCGGCCGCGGCCGGCGGTGTCACCACGATTGCGGACATGCCTTTGTAATAATCCATGTTCTCCTCTAACGATTCGTTTCAACGTGTAAAATTACCCTGCATATCTATCTCGTGTTGTAGGAATTCTATTCCGCCCACTACCACTTTGGTTAATCTCGAAGCTAAAGCGAGGGCAGCGTACGCGAAAACGTTCGTAGACGTTGCGTTCTGGGGCGGAGTGGTACCAGGGAATCGGGTACGTTTTTACGTGAATTTTTTATCTATACATTTACGCATGCGAAATAAATACACTTGAACGTGTATAGAACTATCTTGAAGAATAAAAGAGAATCGGCCTCAAATTGTTCCTCGACTGGAAACTCGCAGAAATTAATCTACAAACGACAGAAATGCTGTGAAATGAAACATTGTTCGCTCGCACCCCAGCGAGAAATGGCTCGTCGATCGATGTCGAAACGATGTCAATTTGACGTCGATTCGACATCGATCGACGAATCATTACTCACCGGGACCATCTTGAATCGAATATAAAAACGCGTAAGTCATTTAATGAATTATTTTGGAGTGGCCAAAGACCCATCTGTGACAATATTTTATTAACATTGTATTCTTGTAAAACATGCAGATACATGATGGTACTTGAAAGTTACGATGTTGCAACTTGAAAGTTACGATACGAATAACACGCATACCATGTGTTACCACTTTTTTCAAGACCAAGTTTCCAGCGGCATGAAATTATAGGGTGTCAAGAATCGTTAGCACGATCTATCTACCGCAGTAATAACTATCTTAAAACGCTTCTGTCATTCTCCCATTTTCTATTCTTGTGTTTCAAAAAGCTCTTGGAGGATATCTTTCCCAGTTGAACATTTACTTATATAGAAAATAATAACACTGCGTGACGCTCGAACAGTGCCAGGCGAACTTCATTATTTATTCATGAGAACGAAAACGGACTTCTTGGTCTCCGTTTCCCTGCATTGTTATTTTACTGATCAATTTTTATAGTCACAAGTATGAAATTGAGACGAGAGCGATCTCTTCACAGTCGGTGTCTTACGTTCGATTCCACTTTATCTTCGTCTCACGTACGTGCAAGTTTTAGAAGAGATTGAGTAGAAAATGAATAATTATGATTAAAAAAAAGATAATAAATGGTAATTCGTTTCGAAAACTCATATTTCGATTACATATTTTATTTACATCACTAGAAACGATAAAACGCGCGCTTCGCGCGCGCAGTTTGTGTTCAAGCATTGTATATTTTTAAGAATTTGTATACACGCGAAGAAGTAATTGTATGCGCAACGTCAATTTAAAATAAAAAGTAATTTGTCACTCACCGATACGGTTCGCAACAGC